ATTTTCCTGGATACTAATATTAATTAATTCATTCATTCTTTACCATATACTTACTAGTTTAGTTTTATTTAGTTGATGTGTGCATGTTTTTTCTTCTTTGTATGCCTCTTTTAACTTTCTTTTGGCTTTTCGATGTATGTTTGGCCTAGGAGCTTTCTTGGTTTGGCCATTGTGGGCTTTTCTTTGAACAGTTCATGCCTCAACGTCGGTGTTTACGGTAAAAAGTTGCACCCTGTCCCGGGCTGAATGGTGGCCGGGTATGAATTAATCAAATCTGTTGGTCTGACCAGACATGCTGATGACCAATAGTAGCTAATCCCGTTGGGGTACAGGTTGCTGCTAGTTATACTGATGTTGTTTTGATGAGGCTTGCGTGCCATGTTTTTTGGGCTTGTGCCATATCCTGCGGACATGAGTTTTGTTTATGGCCTGCGTGCCATATTCTTACTTTCGGCCTGCGAGCCATGTTTAGATTCTTTATATTTTATGATCGGGTGGCGTTTGAGCCAAATTTTGATGGGAGCATGTGTCTCGTACTTGATTTATTTCTTTATGGCAGCATGTGTGTTTCAATTTTTTGGGGTTCCTAGCAGGGGTGATATGTCTATGTTCTGCTGTTATGCTGCCAGATTTTCGAGTGCTGACTGAAAGACTTGGGCTTATTAGAGGATCCTCCATCTGCATTTCTGCAATTATTAGTTAGAATATTTTATATTTTATTTATTTCATTCTTTAGACCTGGCTTATTTTTTGGGCTTTGGTATATTCTTTTATTCACTGAACGGAAGAGCTTCGAGTCCAAGGCCAGATGACCTCGACGTAATGGCTAGTGCCCTAAGGGCGGTACGAGGTTCGACCTCGCCTATCGTCGAACGAAAGAGCTTGGGTCCAAGGTCGGATGACCTCCACCTAATGGATAGTGCCATATGGGCGGTATGAGGTCCGACCTCACCTATCGCTAAACGGAAGAGCTTCGGGTCTAAAGTCGGATGACATTGACCTAATGGCTAGTGCCCTAGGGGCGGTACGAGGTCCAACCTCGCTTGTCGCCGAACGGAAAAGCTTTGGGGTCCAAGGTCGGTTGACCTCGACCCAGTGGCTAACACTAACAATTTGGGGTCCAAGGTCGGATGACCTTGACCTAGTGGCTAACACTAACAAGGAGCCGACCCCCTAGCCCTTGAGCTTTACCAGAGTGAAGCTCAGCCGAAAGACGTCTAGCGCGTGATCAAGGAGACGAGACCTAGCCCTTGAGCTCGGACGGGGTAGAGCCCATGTTTATTAAAAGGTCCGCCAGAGTAAAGTGAGGAGTTCAAGTCCTTGCATTTATTTGAGGTTTGTACCTCAAGCTTTGGAGGTCCACCGGAGTAAGGTAAGGAGCTAAAGCCTTTACGTTTATTTGAGTTTTGGACCTCAAGTTTTGGAGCTCAACCAGAGCAAGGTGAGGAACTCAAGCCTTTGCACTTATATGAGGTTTGGACCTCAAGTTTTGGAGCTCAACCTGAGTATGATGAGGAGTTTTGGAGCCTTTGCACTTCGTGTGAAGCTTGGGCCACGAGCTTTGGAACTCAACAAGGGCAACGTGCGGAGCTCAAGTCTTCGCACACATAGGAGGTTAAAGTGAGGAGCATAATACAAGGAGCTCAAGGTGAGGAGCTCAACACGAGGAGCTCTAAGTTTGGAGATCAAGTTCTTGAGCTCGATCAAGGCGAAGGTTAGAGCTCAACGCAAAGTGAGGAGCTCAAGTTCTCTTGTCCGGCCAAGGGTAGGAACCAAGACCTTTGAGGTCGGCCAGAGCAAAGTGAGAAGCTCAAGCTTTTGGAGCCCAGTCGCGGAAAAGTATGGAACAGTCGTATGGAGCACCCCAAAGGCGCCCAAAGTCAATGGCATGGTCGTGTCGGTGCCAAGCAATGTATGTTTTTTTTGCACAATGCAAAACCTAAGGAGCAATTGTGGGGCACATAGATGGGGATATCACCATGTTGATCAAGGTCAGAGCAGGAGAACTCTCTTTCACTGACGACTTCTCGCAGCTCAGAGAGTGGGGGGCTAATGACGGATATATTAAGAATGGATCCTGATCGAAGAAAACTGACCCGAAAGAAGATGGAGAGCCGACCTGGGTTAGCTAAGGTATTCTTATCATCTTACGGATCACACTATTTTCGTGGAGTTGGTTAGGCTTATTACTTTAAATAAGCATCATATGTCATTATTTGGGAACATCATCTTAATGACTTAATCTTTATCTTCTACATTGTCTTGTACTTTTTATTACACAAGTATTCCTTGTAATAGCATTAATACATAATCAATATAAGATTTGTCCTCCGTGGCTTATAATCTTTTATCTCTCCATTACATTACATTTACCATTATCTTTCATATTGTTATCCTTTACTTGTCATATCTTTAATTAATCGAGTTAATTGATTCGAACCCCGGGTCAATATAATCCATCATTATTAAATAAATTTATAATAAGAATGGAAACATTCACACTATATATATATATATATATATATATATATATATATATATATATATATATATATATATATATATATATATATATAAACTAAGAGGTGTGAATGAGTGAATCCTTAGATGCATACATGTTATGTACTAGGACATCTTCATGCTATTTGGTCATTTCAAAACACTATATACTGTTTTATCTACAAGTGCACCTAGTGGAGAATGTTAACTAACTGAGGGTAAGTAAAGACTAATTTCTTATATTTATTGTGGCCTTACTTGGTCTAACTATATGTGGCTTGTGGTCTATTTGTACCCGATTGCTCTCCTAAGTGGGAGGTGAAAGGTTCGAACCTCACTTGAGACAAGTAAAGTGTGTATATAGGATATTTCCTTCCTTATAATAAAAAAGAATATATGTACATATTTGAGAAGTTAAAAGTATTATCATAATATCTTGATTCACACATATTTAAAGATTAGAGAATTGAATGGACCAGAAATTGCTATAGCCTATAACTATTAGTCTTTTTTTTTTTTTTGCTTGAATATTCCTAGTGAAGAAGTTTAGCTAGTAAAAGTAAATAAATAATGAAATTGGTGAATTGAATATAATGAAATTTGTTATAACTACTACCAGTTCTTTCCTTAATTAATTCGACCGAGATGAAAGTGACCCATAAGAAATGGTAATAATAGAGGATGAAGCATACGGAATAAAGTGTAATGATAACAACAATTTTAAATTTAGAATAAGGATTAAATAGGTCATCCAATTGCGCAATATAATGTAATTAGACTAATGAACATAACAAAAATATTTAATTGAATCCCTAAATGAACTAATTTCATGCCATTAGTCCAATTAAAAGGATCACGGGAACTTGAAAGTTTAGAATTAAATGTAGAAAAATATTATACATAGATAACTACTATCTATATATGACATTAACTCAATTTGAAAATCGAATGATCAAGGGTGATCAATTTGAAAGTTTATGATTAAACGTAGCTAAATCACTATACTCGTAGGATCCTAGATGATATTAACTCCAAAAAAAATCCTTTATATAATAAAGCTATATGGTTTGGGAAATAATTAATGTTAAAATTAATGTCACAACATCCTTTATTATAAAAAATAAAATAAAAAAATTTAAAAAAAAAACAAAACATTTAAAAAATAAAATAGCTATATATATTATATAATCATATAAAAAATATACTTTTGAAAAATAAAATAGCTATATATTATATAATCATATAAAAAATGTGTTCAATTAGCGTTTAAATTTACACATACAAAATTTGAAATTTGCTTTCCAAATGTAATTATCTTAGTTATTATTTATATTGTGAAAATTATAATATAGATAAAATACAATTAAGAATAAATCAATGTAATTATGTAAATTATCTCTATAAGTTTATTTGAATATGCACATAATTAGAGATCATATTAACCGTACAAAATTATAATTAAAATTTTAATTTTAATTGTAATTTTGTATTCTATAAAAATAATAAATACTTGACCAATGGAAACTCAAAAATATTATTATATCAAATAATTTAAAATATTTTAGTTATTCTATTTTTTATTTATATTTAGGGAAAATGGCACTTTTTACCCCTGAGTTATATACTTATAGCACTTTTTCCCCCTCAATTATTTAGGTAAGCACATTAGCCCCCTCAATTATTCTAAAAGTGGTGCTTTATCCCCCCTGATATATTAAATTGACATTTATACCCTTAAAGTAAACATTTTATTTATTTTACTACTCCAACAAATTATTGCGTATACGTAGGGATGACCACGGTTCGGTTTGAATTGAACCGGATACTAAAGCAATCGAATTAATAGTTTACGGTTATAATTCAGATCTAGAACTCAATATTTAAATGTCAATTTATTAAAATTATGTATCAAAAAAATTGAATCTTGAACCGTGAACCGGCGGTTCCAGATCTGATTTGCGATTTTGAATCATCTTTATTTTAAAATTGTATTTTTTATTTTAAAATAGTCTAAATTCAACAATAAATGTATTTTATTTTTTCAGTTTGGAACATGAACCGTCCGTTCCGGTTCACGATTTTAACAAACTCTAAATATCGAATTTCGATTCTAAATTGTAATTGGAATATTTCGGTTTGGTTGCTATAGTGTTTGTTTAGTTTGAACCATAATTTGTTGGAGAAAAAAAATAAATTAAATATTTAGTTTAAGGGTAAATATGTCCAATTAACATTTCAGGGGAAAAAACAGTCACTTCAATCATTTAGGGGGAAAAAACACTATAGGTATATAACTCAGGGGAAAAAAGTGTCATTTTCCCTTTATATTTATAATAACATAATTTTTTTTCCGTGCATTACTAGTAATAATAATAAATAAGAAAATTACAGTGAGACAAAAATCACTGAGAAAAGAAAGTAAGGCATAACCTCGACGTCAACATATTCGTGTTTCTTTGATTCGGTGACTACAAAACCAACTGCAGTTTAACGATGTCGGTGGGATTCCACTTTGTGACGCTGATTGAAGTCTATACACCAACTCACAATTGATACACACTACCTATTGATAACTACATAGTACCAACTGAAGCAAAACAAAAATTGATAATTAGCCCCCAAAACTCTCATAAATTCTGAAATTAAACCAAAACATTCCCAGATCTGTCTCTATTTTCCTCCATATTCTATAGCTTCCTTCAAATCTAATCAATGCATGATACATACATTATACATACAGACATACCCTCCTTTAGCGCTATAGTACCCAGATTCTGGAAACCATCTTCAAGATCCAAGCTTTCTTCACAACCCAATTCTTCTTCCAAGAACTTCTGGAGAGAGAGCGCATAAACGGAATTCTTGAGTTTAGATTCAGTCATTATTCACACTCGCAACTACAAGATCCAGTGTTTCCTTCAAAAACAAAAGAAGATTAAAGCTAGCCCGCCATTGAAGTTTGAGGCATTGTCGAACTTCAAGATCCAGTTTTTCATTGATTAAAGGTGTCTATGGAGTAAACAGATCAGAGGTGAGTGAACCCTTTAGCTTCAAAATCTTCAATTTGGAAAGTTTGTGTTCATCTGTGTTGTGAATGGTTTGGATTTGAGTAGGGTTTTGTTGCAATGAGAGAACAGAATTCAATAACTGATCCAATTGGGCAAAACATAATTAAGCAGATAAGCAATGTGTGTTTCTCAGTGTTTGTGTTCTCTGTGCTAATCTTAACTATGATTGCGGTTACATACCAACCCCCTGATCCCTGGGAATCTGCTAGAGCCCTAACTAGGGTTTTCACCGAGGTCGGAAATGCCACGTTTAAGACCGACAGTTCTATCCTGAAAACCGGTGAGGATCTCATTGGCATTGCCAGTTCCCCTGCTGTGTCCCCTGCGTTTACCGTGGTCCCAATCACAGAGGATACGATTGAGAAATCCGAAGGGAAGCTCCCGAATTCGACTTTGAAATCGAATTGTGCGGATGGGGATGCCATCAATTGCTCGGATCCTAGAGTCATGTTCACCGTCGAGAGGTTTAATTTCAAGAGGTTTAAGTCCATTGTGTTCTTGGATTACCAAACTCCGGTTAATGGATCTCGCCCCGACGAATGTGATGTTGCCTGGAGGTATAGGAACAAGCGAGAGAAGTCGTGGAGGAAGTATAGGGATTTCCGGAGGTTTAGGATTGGATATACCGGGAATTGTAGTTATAAAGTGACTTATGCCGGGAAATGGCATTCGGGGGCAAATGCTCGTCCTCCGAGGGTTCAAGCTAATAGTACCGCTAGACCTGGCCCGAAAGGGAAAATCGCTCCGCCAGTTCGGGATGAGGAGATCAATGATACGATCCCCGTGCTAGCATCGGATTTGGCTTTTAGAAATGGGAAATACTTGTACTATTCTCGTGGCGGTGATCGTTGTAAAGGAATGAATCAATTTCTCTGGAGCTTTCTGTGCGCTCTGGGCGAGGCTCAGTACTTGAACCGGACATTCGTGATGGATCTGAGCATCTGTTTAGCGTCTACTTACACTCAGAGTCACAAGGACGAGGAAGGGAAAGACTTCCGGTTCTACTTCGATTTCGAGCACTTGAAAGAAGAGGCGTCGATTGTTGATCAAGTAGATTTCCTTACGGATTGGCGGAAATGGGACAAGACGCACAAGAAGAAAATCCCGGTAAGAAAGGTGGCTGGCTATAAAGTCACGCCAATGCAGCTGAGGAAAGACAAGAGCACGATAATATGGCGACAATTCGATGCCCCCGAGCCCGAAAACTATTGGTATAGAGTCTGCGAAGGTCCCTCCGCAAAGTACATCCATAGACCGTGGCACGCATTGTGGAAATCTAAACGATTGATGAACATAGTTACTGCAATTAGCGGGAGTATGGATTGGGACTTTGACGCTGCTCATGTTGTCCGGGGACAGAAAGCCGAGAATAAGGCGTTATGGCCCCACTTGGATGCCGATACATCGCCAGATGCCCTCGTCGAAAAGATCCAAAAAGCGGTCGTGCCTGGAAGGAATCTGTATATCGCCACAAACGAACCGTTCTATAATTACTTCGATAAATTGAGACCTCACTACAAGCTTCACTTGCTAGATGATTACCAGTATTTGTGGAGCAATACGAGCGAATGGTACAATGAAACAACCCAGCTGAACGGTGGGCGCCCCGTCGAATTCGATGGGTACATGAGGGTTGAAGTAGACACCGAGGTTCTTTACAGAGCCAAGACAAAGGTGGAGACGTTTTACAACTTGACCAAAGATTGCAAGGATGGGATCAACACATGCTAGCTAGGCAGGCTGCGTATCATTTGTGAGTTCATATATACCATTTCGCATGCTTTTTGGCGTACCCAATTTTAGAACCAAGATGCTAAGTCATAAATTTATCAGGGTTGTTATTAGCGTGGATTTTCCATCGATCATATTGATTGTACCCCCCTTCTGTCATGACATATTTGTACAATATATTCAGTTTTCTAATACCACAATGCAATTATCTTGTTTCCGCTCATCTTCATTTGCTCTTTTGTGCTATAATACAGTTCCAAGCCACGCTAGATTGCATCGCGTTTTATTCTTTCTTCAGCTTTGGAAGAGTTTATGACGAGAATAGTAAATTTTTCCCTTCAGAGAATGAAGTATTCTTTTGTGTGTGTGTTGTGTCCCTTTCAACTGCATTTTCATGTTGTTGTGAATCAAGAAGAATTTCATACACAGTGCAGAAAAAAAAAAAAAAAAAAAAAAAAAAAAAAAAAAAAAAAGAAGACATGAAGCCTAACTAGCCATTAGCTACATTCTCTACTTCCAGGACTATCTGCATTCCAGCTCTCTGATGATGCTACTTGATCCTGAAATGGTTCATACTCCTGCATTGACAACGCAGAAATGTGGTAAGTGCAGGGGTGTTCATTCAATTAACCGAACTGAATTAATAAAAAAATTTTAAGCTTTAACCGTTAATCAAATTAAACTTTTATTACCGAATTAATTGAACCAAAGTTGTTTTTTTTTTTTTTTTTTTAGGGGGGGTGTTAATCGATTAACCGAAAGTTTTTTTAGCTAAATTTTTAAAATTATAAATAAAAATTAACATTACCAATTACATCAATACCTATAATAATATTAATAAATCTATAAGAAAAATATTTAAAAAACAATACAATAACAACACTTATAAAAGCACAAATTTAAAAAGTGTAAATATAAATAATACTGTATTATAATAGTCAACCGATATTTTCAAACTGAATTAATCATTAATCAAAATTTTATAAAACCTTTGACCATTAACCGAATTGAAATATTTTAATTAAAAAACGATTAACTAAAATTCATCGATTTAGTCGGTTAATCGAAATTTTGCCATAGTTTGCACACCTTAGGTAAATGTGTGTAGCAGCAGCCTCCATTATCAAATCTTATAAGTTTTTAGTTTGGAAAATTATTGAGTCTACAATTAACAATGAAGTATCATAACACCCTTAAATAAATAGATATGCCATGCACTCTCTCTACATAAGACTCAAGATTATTTTATATAGAAAATCGACTCCTTGATCTCATGTTTGGAGTTTCACAACATATCATTTGTTATGATCTACCTTGCAAGGTAAACTATACATTGATATAGAAGTTTATTTTGTGTATTCAATGTTCATTTTTTAAAGATTTAATTTTAATTTACTGATCAATATACTACCTAAAAATAAACATTCAGTAAAATAAAAATGATCGTTTATCAATAGTCTATAATACAATGTGGACCATAATTCATAGTATAATTTGCTGAAGTTTTCAGGACTTGGCTTGTGGCGGAAGATTATTAACTAAGGGTGCGTTTGGTTCATGGGGTTAAACATAAGAAATGGGAATAAAAGTCATATACATTGTTTGGTCGACAACTTTTTAAAACACAATATATGATTCGATTACCCCTACAATTACAAAACTCATTACCTATTTTAAATAAGATATCATCATTCCATTAATTCAGCACTATCCCTCCTTATTTCATCCCCTCGTTATTTCTTCACCTCATCACTCGTCTCTCCTCACTTCATCGACTTTCTCATTACATTGCCTACATACTCACTTCATCCTCACTTTTAAAATCAATTGCATTGATTTTTTATTTTGTATTTTTAAAACCTTTTATACTGATATATGATCATACATAATCAAACATCAATATTAGTAATCATTTCAATTTCACTTTACTATTAAACATGTAAAATAGTTTCAAAAAAACTCATTCCAAATACCAAGCATTTTATTCCCATTCTGATTCCGATTCTCATGTTCGAACCAAACACAACCTAAATTATATTGTGTAAAACATGAAGTTGTGATTAAGTTATTACCTCCATCTTGTGTAGGAGTTCTCCAGCATTTGTTGCTGATATCACAATGTTTCTTGCTGATGGCCTAATAAAACCTTCTTCTACACCCTTGTCGAATAATCCCAGTAAGCAATCATAATATCCGTCGATGTTTAGAAGTCCAACCTGTTTAAGGAAAATTTGTCATAAGATATTTTTTTTTTTTTAATACCAAAATCTTATTATTGAGGGATAGGAAGGTGATGATGGACCGATGGTATTTCGTTCGATATATGAATCAAATTATAACTCATATATACTATATAACTTAGAAATATTTTACTTGAATTTCAATGAAATTCATCGCTAATATAAAATTCGAGTTAATTTCAAGAATTATCAATTTTTATTTCCGATTTTCAATTGTACCATATATGGTCTATTGACTATTGACATTTATCAATTTTTATCATCGACTCTCAATTTAATCATAAATGTTTCATTGACTATTGATTTTGTTTCAAATTTAATCGTCTAGTTAAATATCAATTTAATAAACATTAAATTTAAAGGTAATAATGTAAAAATTTTAGTTTTTCGCATTCCTAATGATAAACTCAATGTATTAAATTTATGATTTCAATTTGTCCATCTCAAAAATCCAATTTTTTACATTATTATTCATAAATTTAATGTTTAATAAATGGACATTTAACTGAATGACCAAATTTAGAACAAAATCAATAATCAATGAACCATTTATGATCAAATTGAAAGTTGAGAATAAAAATTGATAAAGATCAATAATCGATGGACCATTTATAATCCAATTAAAAGTTTAATGATAAAAATTGATAATAATCAATAATTAATGGACCATTCCTAGAATTAACTCTATAAAATCCTTTTCGAGATTCATGGTTTAATTCAGATAATATAAATTTTGCTTGCCTTTTTGTATTATAGAACACGACAATTATGAACATAACAGATGCTACAAAATACAAATTATACCGTGGCTCAGGGCATAAGGTACTTTGTTGTGTGCATAAGTTGCGTGATTTGTATACTTTAAGATGTTTTATTTATGTGTTTAAGGTGCGTGGTTTGTGTACTTAAGGTGCACCATTTTAATACTTAAGGTGCGTCAACTGTACAACCGCATGAGAAGCTATACCCACATCTAAACCCTTCCCATTATATATATATATATATATATATATATATATATATATATATATATATATATATATATATATATATATATATATATATATATATAGGGAAGGGATCAGGTACGGGTGGTGCTTCCTGTGCGGTTGTGGGGGTAGACTCACATTTAGCATTACACTGGCGCACTTTAAGTACACAATAGACGCACATTAAACACACAAACAAAATACATTAAGAACACAAACTCAAGTATTTAAGTACAAAACTCACGTATCTTAAGCACAACCCTCACGCACCTTAAGCACAAAACTCACGTACCTTAAGCACAAAAACACACGAACCTTACGTTTTAACAGCTCACATTAAGTACACACTCACGCACATTAAGTACGAAACTCATGCACCTTAAGCACAAGACTCACGCACCTTAAGCACAAAACTCACGCACATTAAGCACAAAACTCATACATTTTAAAGTTTCAACAACAACTCACATTAAAGTACACATTCACGCACATTAAGCACACAACTCCCGCAGCTTAGGCACAAGATCACTCACGCACCTTAAGTACAAAACTCACGTACATTAAGCACTACAGACCCACGCACATTAAGCACAAATCTCACGCAACTTAAGCACAAGACTTACGCACATTAAGTACAAAACTCACGCACATTAATCACCCGCACAACCGCACGGGAAGCATTCACCCACACTGAAACTTAAACCTATATATATATATATATATATATATATATAATGGGAAGGGTTCAGATGCGGGTATAGCTTCCCGTGCGGGTTGTAGTTGACGCACCTTAAGTATTAAAATGACGCACCTTAAAGTACACAAACCACACACTTTAAGCACACAAACAGAATACCTTAAGTACACAAATCACGCGCCTTAAGCACACAACAAAGCACCTTAAGAACACAAACCACGCACCTAAAGTTTTAAAATGGATCACCTTAAGTTTCCCACAACTAACACACCTTAAGCATACAAATCACGCACCTTAAGAAGGAAAACAATGCACCTTAAGAAGAAAAACAACGCACCTTAAGAAAGAAAATCACGCACCTTAAGTTTCAACAACTACTCACATTAAGCACAAAACCCACGCACTTTAAGCAAAAAAACAATGCACCTTAAGTACAAAAATCATGCACCATAAGCACAAAAACCACACACCTTAAGTTTCAACAACTGCTCACATTAAGCACACAACTCACGCACCTTAAGCACAAAAACCACGCACCTTAAATTTGACCTAGATGCAAAAATTACCAAAATTCGATCCAAATTGACCTTTAGGGTCAAGTTCCGGTGTGGTCGTGCGGTCACACAATATTAGGTACGCATAATTGAACTACTAAGTGTTTGAAAATCACCATTAGGTATGGTGCATTTTTTAATGTGTGTTGCATTTTGTGGTGCATTTGTGTATTTTATTCTTATGCATTTTCAAACATTATGTGGTGCATTTATGCATACCTAATGGTGCAATCCGCGCCGGCTGCACAGAAAGCTCTGTCCTCATTTGAATCAGTATATATATATATATATATATATATATATATATATATATATATATATATATATATATATATATATATATATATATATATATATATATATATATATATATATATATATATATATATAGGAGTGATCACATGTGGTCATGTTGTTAGGTGTGGTCATATGGTCAATTATAGGCCATTAGATTAGATAGATCCAATGAATCATATTAATCAAGATTTTTTCAGTATTTTCGCGCACATTCTCCTACCCAGCGAACTGCAAGGGTAAACTCGTCATAAAACACCAGAGTAGAGGAAATCACATTGTTGTGTATTTTATTACACTATTGGTGCATGTTGTCAACACTGTTGGTGTATTCTGGAAGCCGACCGCTATAAATGGCCATTGTAATTACCATAACACGGGAATACGCCATTGGTGTGTTTCACTGTGGTGTGTTTTATTACA